GTGTTCTAGCGAGTAAGTTAGGATTTTCAGATTACGCTTACTACACGTTAAACGTATGACGTGGCGTCAAAATTCTTCGTAAAATCTCGACGTTCTGCTATAAAAGGTACAGTATTTAGCGTTATTTTTCTAGTGCTTACTTTTGAGTCAGGTATAAGAATTATATATCATTTAATTCTAAAAATTCTAAGTTCTTTAAAATGTTTTGAACGGATAAGATCTGACAACCGGCATTTTTTGTCCAATTCCGTACTTTGTTCTTTAGGCCTATGCTCGGCACTTACGGCCTTTGAGCAGGGAGGGTTCTTTATCGTGCCACACCTGCTGTGACACGGGGCCTCGGTTTATACGGTCTCTTTCGAAGGACCGCCCCATTTAGTCGCCTTTTACGACAAGCAAGGGGGTACTGAGGACCTATTCTAACCTGGATCCCCACGGGGCGTTTAAAATGGAACAGATAGTGTTAGTTAATAAATTGGTATATCTATAGGGCCGTTTTATGCATTAAAGCATTAAGTGAACCGAGCTCTTTAATGAAACTTCACAGAATCTTTGTTATATAATGCGATTGTGCTTCATATTTTACTTTTTGATCGGTCACACATTTTTTTTTTCTGAGCAATATATGAGCACTGCCATTTTTTTAAATAATATTGAAGGGAACCAATCTCTTATCCGCAACTCATTAAATACCACTGTATGAAATTAAATGATAACCTTACAGATTTGCTATTACATAATGTGCTTATGCATCACCTGTTTAACTTTTCAAATCTCCCTGTGCAAAACATGGACATTGCTTTTTAACTTTATTAGAAGCGGAATTATTATTAAATGAACATACTGCTTCCTGTACCTCTAGTTTTGATTTAGTATGTATGTAAAGTTTTCAGCTTTTCCCCGAAAAAAAAAACGGCATTTTTTGCACCAAGAAAGGTGTCAGGACGTACAATAAAAGCAAGGAATTACACAATCGAACAACAACATAAAGATCTATTCAAGTACTGAATTTTAGATTCCATTTTTAAAAAGAAAAATACTTTTATGAGTAACAAAAAATAATTGAAAAATAAAGAAGCACTTAAATAAACGTCAGATACAAGATAGTGTAGAAAAATATATCATATCCGTTTTTCGGGGTATTTTTATATGATTCAAGCACACTGAATCACCGATGCTCTTTGTTTTCCCTGTATACAAATATTGTTTCTGTCTTGACTGCACTAAAAAATGATCTCAAAAACTGTGGTTCTTAAATGCAGTCTTACCGGTATGCAAATAAAGCTTCTCTGGGTTCTTTTACAACAATCAGCAAATATTAGATAGATTTCCTTTTTGTTTGATCAGTATATTTCTTATCTTTAGATGTTTTTTGGTGATCTTTAAATATACTTTTTCGTTGTAAAACAATCAATACTTTTAAATCCAGTATTTTGAAGTAATTCATCTACTTCTACAAAATTCAAAATCACGTTCTGTTTTCATCTTGTCCTTTTTTTTATTATTTATAACTGATTAAATTTAAAATAAGATCAATGTATCTGATTAGTCAAATATGTTACATGTAATTGTAATTGTAACTGTGATATAAAATTTATATAGCGCTCTACCGATTTGAGTCCTCTAAAGCGCTTTACAATTAAAAATTAAAAAAGAGATAGTAATTAAAAATACATATATACATACATGTAAATAAAATTTGTCATGATGTCACTGTCCAATTATAAAACGATATTTATATTTAAAAGAGAATCACAGATTAAAGGCTTAAAAAAAGTGAGTTTTAAGATCCTTTTTAAAACAAGGCAGTGAAGCACATTCTCTAAGGTTAAAAGGCAGTGAGTTCCAGAGACTCGAGGCGGCCTTGTCTAAACGACGGTCTCCGTATGTTTAAGTGCGTGTCCGAGGTACCTGGAGTAGATGTGCGGATTCTGAACGCAATGATCGTGGCGGGTTGTAAACAGTTATGATATCTCTCTCATGTAGACTGTAGATAGGCTGCGAAGGGATTTGAAAGTGTACAGAAGGATTTTATATTGTATTCTATATTCAACTGGGAGCCAATGGAGTTGGATTAGAGTTGGAGTTATTCGATCGGATCTTTTGGAGCGTGTGATTAGTCTTGCAGCAGTATTTTGTACTCTCTGAAGTTTGGCGATGTGGTGAGAAGGAACGCCGTATGGCAATGCATTGCCGTAATCTAGTTTAGATGTTACTAAGGAATTAACTAGAGCTTTACACGCTACGTCACTAATATAGGAACGGATGCGCCAATTCTGCGAATGTTTGTATATGCCGAGCGTGAAATTGAGATGCATTGCTTTTCCATGGATAGGGTTTTGTCGAAGAATACGCCTAAATTTTTTACAAAAGATGCATCACTAACAACACAATTACCAAATTCTAACTCAAAACTCTTCATATTTGTAAGTCTTTGTTTTGCTTTGTTTTTGTATTATTCCATATCCATCCCAATATAAAGTTTGAACTATCTCAGATTTATCAAAGCGATCTAGTTTGAACAGTGCATGTTTGCAAATCCTGAAAATCATATGAAACAAATTGAAAAAAAAAGTTTCATAATCAGATATTATATAAGTACTCCATTAAAAAAATAGTCAACCCTAAAGAAAACAGTTTCCAAATATTTAAAAATGCATGACGCAACACAGCAAAACTTACGTGTAGGTATTAGAGGTGTTACATGATGTTTCTAATACCATTTCATCAACATAGTTTAAAACATTTAAAATGTATATCTATTTCAACAGGTTTTGTAATACTTTTGGCTTTGATTTTATGTCATAATTGATTTCACGAAATATTTTTGGATATATTTAAATATCTGGTTAGCGGTGAAGGTAAGGGAATTGGATAACAGTGCTATAAATGTTTGTGTACACTGGAAACTAATGGATTTGTTTTGCAATGTCTATACATGTATAATCATGAAACAAATGTTGATCATTCTAATGTTGATCTTAAAGTGAAGTTTCAAAATTCATTTTAAAGTTAAAAAAGTTCAAAAGTCTGGAATAAAAAGATTGATAAGAGTATACTATGGGTAAGAAAAAAACATTTTAATATTCTAATGGAGGATTTGTCATTGATTGTCTTTTTAAGGTTTAACAGTGATAGACTTTTTAAATTCCTATTTCTTTCCTTTTTGAAATTGGAGCAATTACGAAAAATAAAAATCTGGACTCTGTGTTTTGCCTATACGTAAGAAAATTGTTGTTTTTATAAACGGTAAAAGCATTTATAACCAATTCGATCTTGCGTGCAGTTAAAGAATTAGATATTGTATCTCAGAAGATCAAGGTTAAATTCTTAAACTTCCTTTTTAAGAAAAAAATTAGATTATATATATACTGTATACAGGGAAATTTTCGCCCCCGTTTTATTTTCGCCCCTTTCACCTTACTAACAGGTGGGCGAATTTAAAACGGGGCGAATTAAAAAACAAAGTATAATTACTTAAACAAAACAGTGAATGGGCGAATTCAAAACGGAGCAGAATTGTTTCCAAGACTGAAAGGGCGAAAATAACACAGAACGAAAATAACCCTGTATACAGTATATATTTTTTTAAAATAATACTGTGTTGCTCTATCATGATAAGACAGCTTGGAGAACATTTTCCCAAAGTTTTCTAATATTTCAGATATCTTATTCTTCGGAAAGCAAAGAGCACAAATTTGCCTTTCTGAGATAAGTTGCACCTGACACTAGTGTATGGATAAGCAAGCTTATGCTCTGTGTTTTCTGAAACAAAATGTGCGATAATATCCCTGTAAATTTGGAAATTCACAAAGTTCTGACCTTTGTGTTTCCTCTGCGTATCTAATTGCTTAGAACCAATACTCATTTTCTGACAAAATAGATGCCAACAATATTTTAGTAATTATTTGTAGCATTATTCTATGAGACATCCTTAATCGGGATTATAAAAGGACAATAGCCTTTTAAGAAATTGTTATCTCAAACTCACGTCATAAAGCTTACTATGATGACATATTGTATTGGCAATTACATGTAGAATATAAAGTTGTTACCTTAAAATACCCGTGTAAAGGTACATATGTTAGATTTTTCTAAAAATAAGAAGTTGCTTTTGATTTCATTTAATAGCGGTTTGGCTAAGTATTTGTTACTAGTTTTTTTTGCATTGTACATAAGATCTACTAAAAGCATTGTATTACTAGTATACGTCATTGTACAACATTCCAAAATAATGAAGAAATATATATTTTTTTTTTTCAATGTCAAAAATGAAAAACAAAAATAATAAACACTAGAAAACTAACCAGTCAGCAAGGGCCCCGCCATGAAGTAGAATTAAAATGGTGCAGCTTATGGAATGATTAAAAAATATGTCACGAATAAGAAACAGAAACTGTATTCTTAAAATATCAAGATAAATCTTTAATATCCAAAAACCTGTGAATAATATCCTTGTATTTATTTTACATAAGGCAGTAAAAACAACTCAACACTGAATGTATATCTAAACTATAATGAAGCTTCTGTTATAAAAAAAAAATGCCAGCATTCAATGAATGCAAATATATATCATGAAGGCTTCACCTTAACTTCAAAACAAACAGCAGTTGTAGACAAAGGTTTTCATTAATCTTAAAGTGACAGATAAAGATAAGCCTTCTATATTTTCTGCAGCAGACTAGATAATTAATCCCAAGGGATTAATTGTACTTCTCTCTCATCATTTTTTTCTTAATTTATAATAAGAACTTTTTCAGTAATGATAGAATGAGGTTTTTATCCTACTGCCTTAAAAAGTAATAATATTCTTGAATTTTCATGAAGCAAAAAAAAAAAAAAAAAATAGAAATAAATAAATACCCGGTAAATAAATAAATAAAAATAAAATAATAAAATATATCTTCTTTAATCTATTTCTTTTTTTTTTTTTTAATTTAATAAAATCAGAACTCATTTCAACAAAGATAAAAACATTTATACTTCAATCCACATTTCAGTGTTCATAGCATTCCAAATGGACTTAACTTCAAAACAAACTTCATTTGCAGACAGAGGCGGTAATTAATCTCAATGTGACAGATAAAGATAATGCTTTGGATTTTCTTCAGGGGGAAACTAATTAATCCCAAGGGACTCATTCCTTGCAGTATTCAGTTTACAATGGGAACATCTCTCTTTGCCAATCTATTCTTATAAAAAGTCAAGGAATCTACTCCACCACCCCACCTCCAAACCAGAGGACATAGAGAAACAAACTTAGCATCAAAATATGTCTTTTTGCCTATTGAACTACCATATCAAATTTGAACTTACTTGGACTACAATAAAAAAGTTATTAGGAAAAAACAGAAATGTGGACGGAAGAATGAAAGACGCACAGACGCATAAACAGGCAGAGTGATTATTATAGGGCACCCGCAAATACTTGCGGGGCCCTAATATGTATATGTTAAAATATCTACACAAAGCTTGTAAAATTTCCTCCATTATTTCTTGTTCAATGGAAATACAGATTGGTGATGATAAATATTATTATGAAATCACTGATATTTAAAAAAACAATCATTCTATGAACTGTTTACTTTGAAGGATCTTGACTACGTTTGCTTATGATATGTGAAGCCAAAAAAAGTATATAAGGATTGCAAGAGTAATGAAAAATTCCAAAAAGTAAACTTGTATTGTATGTGTATGAAACAAAGGTTCTTCCAAAGGGACTTCCTGTCAAACGTACATGTAATAAATGAGGGATTAATACCATTAATGGCATAAGAGAGAAAATATAAATTGATAATATAATGGATATAATAACATTCATTTTTCTACGGATGCTGTTTGTAACAGAATTAGAAGACATTTTTAGAGCCCTCAACTTTTTGATATGTATAAAAAGGATTGCACTGACAGAAAGCAACATCCTAAAAATTCTGTAAAAACCGAATGCATCAGAAATGGTATTTGTTCGATCTTTTGAATCTTCAATGATCGTCGATATAATTATTAATATGAAAGCGGTTAAGAGTGAAGAATAGATCCAAATCATTAAAGAGCATGTCATGACAATCGGTATGGTTAGTCTTATTTTGCTCTCTAGGGGATGAACTATTAATAAATATCTTATCATAGCAAGGAACACAATGTGTGCAGTTGAACATGAAATAAGTGTATCATCTAGAAAACTATAAGTTATAAACCCGATACTACTTTGATTATAAGCAGGTTGATAAAGAAGATAACTATACAAATCGGAGAATTTCCGTACAAAAATACAGAAGATATTTAGCGTATCTGGCAATGCAAGGCATCCGATGGCAAGAAATGTTGGCGTGTGTAAATGTTTTGCACATCGAATTTTGAAGATAGTCACAATATTTCCTACGAACCCCAGTACTCCAATAATCAATATGAGGATTGCGATTGATTTCTCAAATCCTTCCGAGGTATCAGCAATACTCGATGGATTGAACAGAAAGAATGAAACAGTGGAAAAGACTTCAAAATCGTTATAGGAAATGTTTTTATCATAGACGCTCTTTGATTTGTTCCAGCTCTTCCGAAGAGTTCCGTCCGTTGAAGAAAGCATTGAAGACCAAAAAGAGTTGTTGTAATTCTGTTCTGTTTCCCCATTCATTTCAGATGAATTCCTTATTGAGGGTTTGGATGAATTTGCGTGTGTGGATTGGCAATTTTCTTTTATATAAAACGCCCCTTCTTACCAGACTGTAAAAATAATTTCATATAAAGAGAAATTAAACTTTATTATTTATAAAAGTGTTCTTAAAAAGGATAAGATATTATTCTTAAATCAAATTAAAAAAGTATTGCGAAACATGATTTGAAATTGGCATACCTTTTTAGGTCACCTGTGTTTACTCAGGGTTCTGGTGTTAGGGCGGGGCTCTTTTGATTATATGGTGAAAATACATTAAATCTTTTTCTTTTCTGTCTCTGGGTATGAAGCAGATAAACTACCTGTATAGTTATAATGAGCAAGGGCTCTAATCTTGCAGAATTTTGAATTTCAAGGCTTCAGGGTCAGGGGTACCTTAGAGGGGGATTGTACTTATATACTGAAAATGAATGAATTGTTTAAAATCTGCTCCTTGGTATTTAATCAAATATTTTTGAAAAGCAAGGATGCCTTTTCAAAAATTGAGCAGCGTGTGGATCTAGGCGTAAGAGTCAGCGGTTCATGTGTGGTAAGGGCACAACTGATTAATGCTGAATATTTCTGATAAGTTGAAATGCATTTTTTGTTCCCCTACCCTGCTTTTGGGTATTAAGTAACCAAGCTAAGCAACCGAACTCACGACCTCCCGATCACGGAGCAAGCGCTCTACCGACTGAGCTACCGTGAAGTTAAACACTTGTTGTGAGGTGTGTTGTATTTGTATTGTTTCATCATGTCTATTATTAGTAACATTAAGTTTCCTGAACATTCCAGAGTGGTCAACATGTTCGGTCATTGTTTCTAGAACATTCCTGAACTTTGTGTATGTCCAGAACTTTCCAGTAATATCATGTACTTACAATTTCTAGAATATTCTAGATTTATGATACTGTATAAATACCCTGTCAATTCGATGCATAGATACTCTTGTCGTATGAGCACCATTGAGTTACAACTGGGATATATTTTCACTGGGACATTGTGTGCAGCAACGGACACTCTGATGTATGTATTTTTTTAGATTTTTGCTAAGTTTGAACTTTATGATTTGTATATTACTGTAAATAAATTATTGTTAAGTTTAAACTGTGTGATTGATCTTTGCTGGCATTTAGGGTTATTCTGACCCATAACAGAATTGGGGGCTCGTCCGGGATCAAGAATTTCTTGCACTTTTGCAGTTCATCAGAATTTTGTTAATTAAATTGTTAAATTTGACTATAAGCCAGCAAAAATCAACATGGTATTTTCGGTCACAAACTTTCTTAGTTCGCCAAGTGTACAGGTTTTTGATACGTTAAAAAAGGATGACTTGATCGCATTAGGTTTGCATTTTGGGTTAGATGTTAAATCCTCTCAGAGAAAGCAAGACATTAGAATTAAAGTTGCAAACAAACTAGTAGAAGAAAACATCTTTGAAAAATACGATCTTCCAGAATATACAGTTAAAACAGAGTTAGGCTCTTACAAAATGGCAGAATATCAGTTTCAATTAGAGTTAGAGAAAATGCGTTTAGAAAGAGAAAAATTAGAAAGAGAAGAGCGAGAAAGAGACAGAGAAAGAGAAAGAGAAAGAGAAGAACGAGAGCGTGAACGGAAATTTGAATTAGACAAATTAGAAAGACAAGAGCACTTTGAGTTAGAGAAATTAAGATTACAGCAGAAACCAGAACCCTCATTTGTCAAGAATATATTTGATGCAGCAAAAAATATTAGGTTAGTTCCGAAATTTCAAGAAAAATCTGTAGACAAGTATTTTCCCCAATTCGAGAAAGTCGCAGAAAATCTTAAATGGCCACAACAAGTTTGGTCAACAATGTTACAAAGTGTACTGGTTGGCAAAGCAGCTGAGGTTTACTCTGCACTTGGGGTAGCTGAAAGTTCAGACTATGAGAAGGTCAAAGCAGCAATATTAAATGCATATGAATTAGTACCTGAAGCGTATAGGCAAAAGTTCAGAAAGTATAGAAAGTTTGATAATCAAACATTTGTTGAATTTTCACGAGAGAAAGAAGATTTATTCGATCACTGGTTTAGATCTAAGAAACTTGATAAAACTTTTGCTAATTTGCGCCAAGTCATCCTGGTAGAAGAGTTTAAGGAATGTGTTACTCAAGATTTGAAAACACATCTAGAAGATAAGAATGTGAAAACTCTTGAAGAGGCAGCAGTCATATCTGATACTTATGCTCTGTCTCATAAAAAGAATTTTGTATCAAGATCTCAGACTAGCAGTAATTCTACAAATTCAGACACATATAAAAAGAGTGGTTCAGGGTCTCAGTCTTTCACAAGTTCCCAGTCTCCATCCCAAGGTGGTTCTAAGTCCGGTCCAGGACGTTTTGAAGGATCTTCTGGAATAGGGTCGCTTCCTACTTGTAGTTATTGTAAGAAAAAAGGTCATCTGATCAGTGAATGCTTTAAACTTAAGAGAAAAAATTATTTTGATAAAACTCAACCACACGCTTGTGCGGCGGTTAGAGGTGATAGAGAAGCCTTAGTTTCGATTTGTTCTGACACTCCTGATGTCCAGGGTTCACAGTCCAGTTCTATTGATTCTATGGAGGATTATAAGCCCTTTATGTCTCAGGGATTTGTTTCACTCGGTGACTCTAGCGAAATAAAACCTGTCCAGATTTTGAGAGATACTGGTGCTGCACAGACGTTATTGTTAGAGGGCGTGCTTCCTTTGTCTGAGCAGACTTCTACTGGTGGGTCAGTTTTATTACAGGGTGTGGAGCTAGGCGTCATTGATGTTCCCCTGCATAGAATTAGTTTGAAGTCAGATTTAGTTACTGGACCTGTTATCGTAGGTGTTCGACCTACTCTTCCTGTTCCAGGCATTTCTTTGTTGCTAGGCAAAGATTTAGCTGGTGGAAAAGTTGTACCAGATCCTATAGTTTGTGAGAAAATCACTCCAGATGTCATGTGCGATGATGAAGATGATGACATTTATCCAGCCTGTGCTGTTACTAGAGCGATGGCCAGAAGACGAGAAATGGAGGCAGACCATACTCAAGCCTTTGACGAGACCAATTCCTCTGTTGATATTGATTTGAATGACACTTTCTTATCTGACCTTGATGGCACTCAAACAAGCATGGAACCACACAATATCAAGAAGCAAGAGAAGAAAGAACTGTTACCAAAATTTGGTGGTGAGGATGATGAGTTGCATCCACTAGTTAGCCAAGGCAAGGACATCCTCAGCCGAGAACGTTTACTCTCTGAACAACATAAAGACCCAGATATCATTCAACTTAGTAAGAGGGCACTTCCACCAGAAGAGGCTACTAAAGTTGGAGAATGCTTCTATATGAAAAATGGCATCCTTATGCGAAAATGGCGACCACCTGACGCTCCCCCAGATGAAGTGTGGCGTGTTGTTCACCAGATAGTGGTCCCAGCTGCTTATCGTCGAGATGTCATGAGTTTAGCTCACGATACACCTATGGCTGGTCATTTAGGTATCAATAAGACTTATAATAGGATTTTGAGTCATTTTTATTGGCCTAAGCTAAGGAAGGATGTTTCTGAGTTTTGTAAGTCGTGTCATGTCTGTCAGATGGTAGGTAAACCGAATCAGAAGATACCATCCGCCCCTCTCCAACCAATTCCAGCTTTTGAAGAACCGTTTAGTCGAGTGTTGGTGGATTGTGTAGGACCTTTGCCTAGGACCAGATCTGGGAACCAGTATTTACTTACCATTATGTGTACATCCACTCGATTCCCTGAAGCCATACCTCTTAGGAATATAAAGGCAAAGAGCATAGTTAAGGCCCTAACCAAGTTCTTCAGTTTTGTAGGAGCACCAAAGGCAATTCAGTCGGATCAAGGCTCAAATTTTATGTCGGGGTTGCTCCAGCAAGTCATGCATGAGTTGGTTATAAGGCAATATAGATCAACTGCTTATCATCCTGAGTCCCAGGGAGCGCTAGAACGTTTTCATCAAACCCTAAAAACAATGCTGAAGACCTATTGTTACCAGTATGAGAAAGACTGGGATGAAGGGGTTCATCTTGTGCTATTTGCTGCACGAGAGGCAGTCCAGGAGTCTCTTGGGTTTAGTCCTTTTGAATTGGTGTTTGGTCATACGGTTAGGGGTCCTTTGAAATTGTTGAAGGAAAAGTGGCTGACTGAGACTACTGATCTTAATCTTTTAGATTATGTGTCTGATTTCAAAGAAAAACTTTACAATGCTTGTAAATTAGCACAAGAAAATTTGAAGAATTCTCAGATGAAAATGAAAATGTGGTATGACAAAGATGCAAGAAATAGGGTGTTTAAGCCAGGTGATAAGGTTCTTGTATTTTTACCTATTCCTGGTCATCCTTTACAGGCCAGATTTTATGGCCCTTATGAAATTGAAAGCAAGATCAGTGATGTAAACTATGTAGTTAAGACACCAGGTCGACGTAAAGAGAAACGGGTTTGTCACATTAACATGTTAAAAGAGTATTTTGAAAGGTGTGACCGAAATTCTGTAAAACCAGTTTCCACTTTAGCCAACGCTAAGACTGTTCAAAATTGTATTGAGAGTGATACGAATGTAGAGATGAATGAGAAAGATTGTAATCAGAGTGTCCGCTTGAAAAACTCAGAAGTTTTGGCTAATTTGGATGCCAAACTTGGACATTTGAACATTCACCAAAAAGAACAAGTTAAAAACTTGATGAATGAGTATCATCAAATCTTTTCGGATGTTCCAAAGAAAACTAATGCAGCTTGTCATGATGTCATAGTGAGTGACGTTCTGCCTATCAAACAACATCCGTACCGTCTGAATCCAATAAAATTGCAGTACCTAAGAAGGGAAGTGCAGTACATGTTGGACAATGACATTGTTGAACCTTGTAAAAGTGATTGGAGCTCACCATGTATTCTTGTACCAAAACAGGACGGTTCGTACCGATTATGTACAGACTATAGAAAGGTGAATTCTGTTACCAAAACTGATTCATTTCCAATACCTAGAATCGATGACTGTATTGACCGCATTGGAAACGCCAAATTTGTCAGTAAATTTGACCTGTTGAAAGGCAACTGGCAA